CGCGTCTACTTTCCTTTTTTAATATGCTCCGTTATCCTTTTTTAGTGGATTATGAAAAGAATAGTATTTCTCATATATTATTTTCTATGAATAGTGCGTTTTTATAATGAAAACGTTCTCCCAAATCGCTCAATTTTTTCTATAGAATTTATAAAATTTGTTTTACGATAGCATAAAGAACGCCTAAAAGAATTGTGGCCATCTCATTTTCGTTGAATTCTCTGATGTTTTGAAAATTGTAAAAGTACATTTTATCTGCGTGTTCCCACAACTACAATCTTGAAGATAGAGATGAGACTTTTTTTGTCTAATTGAAACTTGTCGTTAAAAGACACATCTTGAAATAAGATCTAGTGCAATTTTTCGAAAATATGAGTAGTTTTCGCGAAATTTTGCGTGAAATATAGGAAGTTATTAAACAGTTGTTTTTCCGGAATGGCTAACGTTTTTCCCTCCTTGCATATATCGAACGAGGGTACAAAATATTGGTGCTGGTCTCATATTTCTGAACTCTGTATTTTTGAAAATTACAAAAATATTGGCATTATAAAAATAAAATATTGAAGATAAAAAATTGTGTCTTAAATAAAATCTGTTCTAAAAAATCAAATATTTAAAAAAGGTCACGTACAATTTCTTTATAAATCGTGTAGCGATCGTGTCATTTCTGCTTGAAGTGAATGGAATTGTTCCTTTAATTAAAAAGACCCCTACTTTTTCTTTAATTCTTTTCCCACGAATAGAATGAATGGCGATTAAAATGGCGCTATTCTCATTTTCGTTGAAGTCATTAAATTTTCGAAAATTGTAAAAGTTAGAAATAATACGAAAAGTGTGTGTTGTAGCACCACTAGTTTCATCTGTCAGCGGAAATTAATAAAATGTTCTGGAAGTCAGAGAAAGTCTATACAGGTGGTCCGTTTCATCCACATAAACTCTTCACCAACGTTTTCTGGATATTGTATTGATATAAAAGTGTCTTCAGTACTTGGCTGTCAATCGCTCCAGTGAGCTAGTTTGTTGCGATATCCGTTAATTGAGAGAACTGCTTCTAAATTTGGCAAATTCCTACGATAATGCGTTGCACTTAGTTGTAAGGTTGATAAGAAAGAAATCGAAACTATCGTTATACGCACAATAAAACGTCGAGTTTTAATTCTGTATAACTCTGTTATACAGAAAATTAATTCTGTAACCGGGATATGGTAAACGACGGCCTCTATCTTCACTGCCCGGAGCTCTTGTTGGCGTAGCGTCTTTAGAGAAGCGACATATAGTGGTGGTTGTATGAACCGTGGTATAATTCAGTAGCACAGAATGTGTAGCTATACAACAGTCGTAAAACAATAGTTTTAGATATAACTGTGCGTTTAAAAAGAAAAAGTTCACAGGGTATTTTGTCTGCAATCTAGTGACGAAATCGGCGGTGACTGTATGCGAAAAAAAAGCACTTGTTTAAAATATAAATTGTCACTAACATGTCAGTCGGACCGTGTTTCATATCCATTTTCCTGAATGAGCTGCCTCGGAGCTTGATGACTCGTTCCTTGCAAGGTGAAGAGCCGCCTGGTAATTCGGAAGGGCGAGTTCGCTGCAGCTTGCTGCGCCGCTGTGAAAGGCGCCACGTGCTCGGGCCAGCGCCGCTGCCGCCGAAGGACAGCCAGTGCTTCCAACGCGCAAAGGCCAGCGACCCGCCGCGCCGCGCAGTGCCACGTGCCGCGGTTCACGTGCTAAGGCGAGCGAGGGAAAGGGAGAGGGTGGAGGTCTCTTTGATTTTGAATTCCAGGAACCGGAGGGCGTGTCGTCTAAGTGGTCCCGGAAAAGTCTGCTGCTCTAACGGTTATGTAACAAGATTCTGAGATCATTAGGAAAGTGAGACAATGTCAAACTCACTAATATGTGTGAAATTGTTTAGAAGCACGGGTATAACTATTACGACTATGCTATAATGTTTTCACTGCTATTTATTACTGCGTATAAGGATATAACTATATCAGCTATCCCTCGGCTCCTCCAAGTCCTTTCCATTGAGTGCTTCATTTTGTAACCCACATACTATGACATGTTAATGTTATTTAATAAATAATGATGACTATTGATTGAGTCATGTATCGTTTGCTATGCAAACGTATGTTAACTGAGACTATCGTAAAAACACGTTCATCTGATAGCGTATTTTATTTTTTATTAATTCCCTTTTAAATTATTAATATACTAATAACTTTTGTATTGACAAAATACAACTTCAGTATTCTCACCATTCCACTTAGGAAGTTGCCCGAAATGGCGGTGACAAACTCCTTAATGTCGACGACGGGCAACAGTTTGACAGATAGGGAAATCATTGTATTTTTTGTGCACTCGATTCCTATATTGTATCACTATAAGACATGCGATGAGAGGCTCTGGATTATTCTAGGACTTTGGCGAATAAATACAGATGTTCAAAAAAATTGAATTTTGTGCGTACAGTGTGTCTCAAAATATATGTTCCAAATTCAAGGGCGTTTAAAGGTGCCGGAAAAGATAAATTTTTACCAATAAACATGTGGGGGGGGGAACTAATTACACGGAACTACTTTGTGACTTTGACTACTGGTAGCTAGGCTACTCCTTAGACTCAGTTTGGTGGGTCACGTTTTGACGCAGCCAAGGAAATTTCACGTACCTGTCGTTGTTGCCAGCCAACAAACAGTGGCAAATGATACATGTGTAACTCCGTTATGAAATTCCCCACTGCATGTCCACTGGCAAAACGTTAACATTTTCGACCTCCTACCGTGCGCTAGGCGTTTGCGATATATTTTCTGAGACGTCTTTATATTATACATTACTTGAAGTGCTTCCTGATCGCGCCATGCCCGCGCTCCCTTCCCCGAGTGCCGCGCGAGGCGAGGGAGAGTTTCGCGAACCGTTGGTGGCGAACGTTGAGGCGGGGTGTTCAGTTCGATGCCAACGAGCCCCAATATTTTTGTGTATTCATTCCCGGCCCCTTATATTGCCCATCCATCGTGGGCCGCGCCGCCCTCCGCCCCGCCT